TATATATATATATATATAATATATATATATATATATATATATATATATATATATATATATATATATATACACACTATATTTATATAAAAGCAAAACATTTATTGAATTATTGCTTACATTTATTTTGTTTGTATCAAAGATCATATTATTTTCGCTCTCTTTTTTGTATTGATCGATTAGATTGTTAACTCTATGAATAAAAAAAATTTTCTTGCAAAATTTGTTATAAATGGAATGGTTCCCGGTTCAAATTTATTCTGCTGAAATCGGCAAAAATATAAATAAAATTGTAATACTTTACATTCTTCAGTGGCATTGATCTGGAAAAAAATCCTTCTCTGTGGGACGCGTATTCTGAACTTCAAAAACACCAACTCAACTGGCCAGTTTTTTTTAACGTTTAAATGAATGTGCCCTATTATCAAAGCATGGGCACAATATGCCTTCGATTAACCACTATTGGTGCAGCCTCGTGAGAAACAAAATTCCGGCTGTCCTGGATAACCGAAGAGGCAATTATTTTGCCAATGTATATGGAATGCATCAGGATGTAATTATAGTTACCATATAAATCAACTCCCCGTGGTAAACTTCTCATTTCCGCAAACATAAGTTGTTGTTTTGTTTTGTTTTTTTTTATCTAGAAGGCATTTGTAAAAAGCAAAATGGTAGAACGACGCAAAAGATAAAAAGAAGAAAATGGTAGATAAAAAAAAATGTCAAAAAAGCTCCTTGGAATGATTAGAAGGAATTTATGCTAATTAATATTTTAATGTTTGTTTTTATATTCGTTCTTTCTTTTTATTTCATCCATTTTTCTTTCTGTTGCCCGTTCTATTTTCATTATTTCTTTCAATTGCAAATTGCGCTTTTTTTCTCTTCTTCTTTCTTTGCGCAATTTTTTTTTCTTTTGTCTACCGTCTTTTTTTCTTTTTTCGATATTTTTTATTAGTCTTTTTTTTGCACGTTTTGTTTCCATATATTCATTCAAAATCAATTACGCATCCCTCTACTATTTTTTGCTGTTTTATTTTATTTTATTTTATTTTTCTACAATGATCCCTCGCTAATTCGCGGTTCTACTATCGCGGATTCACGACTTGGCGGATTTTTAAAATATATATATATGGAAAATATATCGGGAGTTTCTGGAAAATTCTAGAAAAATCGCGATATATGAACACCTAAATTTTTTCATTAAACCCATTAAAATATTAATAATAAATATTATTTCCTGATCTAGGAACAACAAAACAAGCGTAAAATAGCAATAGAAAGGACACCGTCGTCAGAAGAGACGTAAAATACAATTATCGGCTGCACAGTAGAAGTCATCATCAGCTTCATCATCATCATTTCTACTGCACAGCAAATTCATCACCATCATCATTCAAATTCTACTTCAACTTCTATCGTGTTGAATACAGTATCAATTTTTATTTGTTTTAATCTAAAGTGTTATTGCTTAACAGTTGTCCTTGTTATTAATAGAGTACTGTAATGGGTGGGTTGTTAACAGTACAGAGAGGGTTTTAAAAGTCCAAATACACGTTAAATAAATGCTTTAAATATGGCGTCTCTACTTCGCGGAAATTCGGTTATCGCGGCCGGTCTTGAAACCAATCTACCGCGATAAACGAGGGATCACAACACTTTCTTTTGATATTCCTTCCTTCCTTCCTTCCTTCCTTCCTTCCTTCCTTCCTTCTTTTTGCCTTCCTTCCTTTTTCATTGTTTATATTTTTTTCTTTTCTATGTTTTTTTTTTCATATAGTTCTTTGTTCGTATGTATTTTCTTTCTATCTTTCTTTTTCGTTGTTTTTTTATTTTTCTTTCTTTTCGGTGTTTCCTTTTCATATGTTTATTCAAACTCAATTACGCGTTCGTTTCCTATTTGTGTATGTTCTGAACAGTTTTTTCTTGCTTGCTTTCTTTTCTTCTTTCTTTGCTTGTTTCTTTCGTTGTTTTTATTTTCCTTTCTTTTACGTGTTTTCTTTTCATGTATTCATTCAAACGTCCTTTTGCTATTCTTTGGGGTTTTTTATCATTTTTATATCTTCTTTTTTCCTTCCTTCCTTCCTTCCTTCCTTCCTTCCTTCCTTCCTTCCTTCCTTCCTTCCTTGTTCGTTGGTTTTATTACATTCATTCAAACTTTCAGTGTCTCTTTATTTTTATATTTGTTTTTTTTTTCCTTTTTTCTACTCTCTGTGGATACCATTTTCTTTCATTCGTGCATTCTTTCTTTCTTTCATCGCATTTATTTCCTTTCTGTTTTTTTCTTTCACTTAGCGTCTATCTATTTTCTTTCTTTCTCGATCCACTGTCAATCATCAGCGCCTGGCTGTTAAAAAAAAAAAAAACTAATTGGCTGTTTTTATTTTCCTCGTCCACAACCGAACCATTCTTCTTGCCTTATTTCAGAAGAGTCTGCGGTGGCCTGCGTAATATTATCAAAATGCCTGGAGCCAGACAACAGCTGTCCGCTATTTTGTATTGATCTTAAACAGACGACAAATCAACGGCAGAAACAAACAGACCGAGTGATTAGTAATAATAATAATAATAATAATACTTACTTTATTATTAGTTGATGAGGAAATCTTATGGAGCTGCCATTTACAGACGAATCAAAATGCAGCATCCTATTGGTCCATAAACAAATACATTAATGGAGGCATTGACATAACGTAATGAAAGTATAATTGGGAAGGAGTTTTAAAATATATTACAATGCCTATTGCTTCGGACTTTTAGTCTAAAATTATGGACAGGTTTCAAGTGTGCGTCACTGTTTTAGAGTCGAGGATTTCAAGAATAAGAAATGTCTCAGTATGTGTCTATATTTCTGATTGGAGGTATTATGTACACTATTTACATTATTCGGACTATTGCCCTCATCTTTGTCACCATATTTATTACAACGTTTCGGCCCTTCAGTATCTGTCTATATTTCTGAGATGAGGTATTATGTACACTATTTACATTATTCGGACTATTGTCCTCATCTTTGTCGCCATATTTATTACAACGTTTCGGCTCTTCAGTATCTTTCTATATTTCTGAGATGAGGTATTATGTACACTATTTACATTATTCGGAATATTGTCCGTTGCTGAAGGCATTAGGTTTATAATACACAGAAATTCGCACACAGATGTCCTCAAGGACATATAGCACAGTGGATAAAGGCGTTAGATCCAGTGACAGGACCCAAAAAGTGTGAGCTCAATACCTGGCTAATATATATTGTCATCCACAGACACACCGTTTTGCTGTATCACAGCTCTTCTGTGTGCCTAGACGTCCGGCTGCCTCTAGCTAGGATCGAGACCCGGCTAAATTGACGTCAGTCGGAGATTCTACCACTAAGTCGTCGGCGCACAGCAGTGACAAATGTGAATTTTAGCGTACACAGTAACTGAGAGGACTCGATTCGCTTTACTGAAGAGTCTTCCTATAATATCCGTAATAGTCACTGTTTACAAACCCACACTTCCTCCCACCGAGAGCTCAACCGAAATAAGTTTTTCAGGAGCCTATATATATATATATATATATATATATATATATATATATATATATATATCACGAGGTGGAGAACTTGGAGAGGGAATTAACTGATAACTGGCATCCATTAGACATGGTACGTTGAACTAGAACAGTCTTCCCCAGCGAGCGAAATAAAGGGTTGACTTTCCAACCGGATGAAGGCCGGAGCGTACAAAGGCCGAAACATTGTGATAAATATGGCAACGAAGATGAGGACAATAGTCCGACTAATATAAATAAAGAAATGCCCTGTAGAATGAAGTGGATGTGTCGATTAAATGATAACACGATACAGGAATCTTCATTATTTACATAATCTTCATTTTAGTTGTTTATATCACATTGTTTCGGCTGTTGCGCCTCCACGCCCGGCCTTCCTCAGATGTATAATCGACAGGGAATTCTGAACTGAACCCCTCATTAAATCTACAGTGGCAGACTGTACTCGTTGCAATGCTATGTCTAGAGATATCACTTTTAATTCTTATTCTTAGTGTTGCTAAGTTATTGTTCGCTCTGTTTCATCTGAGTCGGTGTACACACTGCTCGGCGCTGGGATTGAACCCACAATTACTATGAGACCAAATTCGACAACAACTTTAATCCTCTCGCCTATTGAATCTACTAATAATATTCCCTTCAATATGTCGACAGTTGGTCAGTATGTGTTGCGAGTCACGTCGCTCCGATCCCGATATTTGGACCTTACATTCCATATGCGATGTGTGAAAGACTGCCTGTGACTTCTCAAGACGGGTGTTTATATAAATGCCACAGGCGAAATCCGTGGTGCACCCAGCTATCTTGATGTCTGGTGTGAATTGCGTGCAATTTCTCTTTCTACAAAATACTGCCCGTTATTTATCGCCAAAAATAAACTTCTCATTTTAGCTTTTCAACAAAACAAAATTTTACGAGAGAAAAAAAATATTATTCCATGATTTATGAAGTATAATGATGAACTTATTAATATGTTATGGTTGTGTGAATAAAATCATTTTGTTTTTAACAAGTAGAAAAGCACAGCAGTAAAATTTGGCAAGTTTCGCAAAGTTGCGAACGGTCTAAGAATCAGAACAACTGAAATTACTCTAACAACAGCTTTAAATATTATCAACATTAATAATAAATATAATTGGAGTCACTTGATCTCAAACGAACTTCACACAATACACGGTTATGAAAACTCACAAAGTTCATATAATAATTGAGTGTAAAGCCATAAAGTATTTTTAGATTTTAAGGATTTTTTTTTTCTTTGGCGATAATAATGGTAGTAGCAATACAAGTCTTAATAATTAACCCATAGCTGGAGGAAGTAAAGGTGGATTCATACCTTTCCCAAGTGTATTTGCGCGTAAGTGAATATAACGAACCCAACTGGAATTGGAACTCGGTTCTCCGATTAACAATGCTGAGACATTATATATTACACTACCCGCACAACCTAGCTTGCAGCACCTGGTATTCCCAAGTGGTCACCTATCTAGGTAATTTCAAGCTTGACGTTGCTTAACTTCGGTGATCTTACGGAAACCGGTGTTTCAACATGATGGGATCGTAAGCCATACATATAGTACAGTTTAACCCGGATATAAGAGACCCGGATATAAGAGAAACCCGGATATAAGAGAGATTTTCTCTGGTCCCGAATTAGAGCCTGTGTTAATGTATATAAAATAGACCAAACCCGGATATAAGAGACTTCTTCTCCGGTCCCGACAACTCTCTTATATCCGGGTTACACTGTAATAATAATAATAATAATAATAATAATAATAATAATAAATCAAGCCGTAAGTGGGAAAGGGTCCAATATACTAACTAAAATGAGATCTGGTATCCCATGATTACAGAAATACAAAAAATTGTACTCACAAGTACACCTCACACATTACGAAGAGCTTTATGTAAAATGTGTTTGTTAGGTCTCTTTTTTGTACAAAACTGATCAGAGGAATATGTTGTGAAGCCATTTCTGACCTTTGCACTCTGGTTAGGTTGCGGAAGCAAAAAATGTGTATACAACAGAAAACCAAGGAAATAATAATAAAAATAATAATAATAATTTTTATTATTATTATTATTATTATTATTTCTTACATATTCTATACTTTTATTGATGATTATGACTCTAATATCTTTTGCCTTTTCGTACAGGGGAGGCCATTTTTTCTAATTATTAATGCGCCATTTTGGGGTGAAGTTATGGCTAGTACCCCAGGGAACTGAACGCCCTGCTTTACTTATTCCCTTTTGCCTTTTGGAATAAATGAATCTAGTTTCATTATTCTGTCCCCTTCTTTTTTTCATTTTTATCCTTAATAAACAAACGGAATATAAGAACATTGAAAAGCTTGCCTTTTTTTTACAATCTCTGTTTGAACGTAGCAATTTATTTGAATATTCTTTTTTCGAATAGGTAAGAGTAGGTGCATATTTTCATCCATCTTTTTCCGTGACGAATAACACTTACGGCCAGAAGATCGTTTGCGGCGAAAATACATTAGTCGATAAGACAAAAGTGCAGGTTTCTTTAAATTGAATCTGAATTCTCTGCACTTGTGTGCACTTTTACGCTTTCTTTTCTTTCTTGTGTATTGTGACATATATATATATATATATATATATATATATATATCAGAGGGGCTAATTTCAAATCCAGCAGTCGTTGACGGCTTTCATAAAGGGAAAAAAACTATCTGGCCGTAGCATCTGATAGAGATCTTTATTACCTCTTCCTCATAGTCCAAAAACTTTTCCTTGCACACGAGTTTGTCTCTGATTCGGGTCTAAAACACCGACAAAACTATGTAGTATAATCGCCTTTTCATTTTGTATCATTATCACCGCTTTTGCTGAGATATTATTCTACATCTTACTACACAACCATATTTATCTTTCTCTCTCTCTCTCTCTCTCTCTCTCTATATATATATATATATATATATATATATATATATATATATATATATATATATATATATCCGAATATAATGAGAATAAAAATAATATATAAATTCTAATGTTCACAGAATTAATTCAAAAGAGGACTCAATACCGATAGAAGAGCAATTATTATTTATTATAATTTTTCATATAGACAAAAACAATTTACTCACTACAAAGATGCAACCGAAACAATGATGTATCTTTATATATATATATATATCTATATTTCTGAGATGAGGTATTATGTACATTATTTACATTTATTAAATTATAATAAATAAAACGTTGTGATAAATATGGCGACAAAGATGAGGACAATAGCTCGAATAATATAAATAATGTAATATATATATATATATATATATATATATATATATATATATATATATATATATATATATATGTGTATGTATATATATATATATATTAAATTGTGCAGTATATATATTATATCATAAAGAAAGAATTCTACAAATAACTAGTTAGCCATGTTAATGGGGTTAATGGCGAAATCACTTCGCTAACAAGATTAATGAGACATTAACTTAATATCAGTTCCATGAATAACGCGATCCTTATATTTGAATTGTTGACAGATGGAATTGATGATCCTGGGCCAAGTACTTTCGACAGTTTCAAATTGTCATCTTCAGGGAGTAATATTCCCAATTACAGGTAAACACCAAGACGAAATAAATGTAGATCCGCAGTACATTCAGAATCTAAAATTCCGTGAAGGAAAAAAAAACTACTAAGACATTTTACTCTATTAATTGGACTATACTTTAGTCCATGTTATTTTAACTGAAAAACGCATGCAACAACAAAACATTCGTGGATTTATCACATTACCAAATTCAAACAAAATTCTCACTTGATTCATTTAAACAAGAACTAGTGTTGCGACATTGAACGTTCCAAAATAATATAATTGTCAATAAATAGCATATTTTTAAGAAATTTTTCGGTCTACACGACATTTATTTTGTTATTTTATGGCGTTTAATTTTGAATTTTTTATTTTCTTGCATCCGAGGTATCCAGATGCTCAAAAGTGGCCGAAGTTTTTCTGCTTCCGACCGCATCTGTTTTTTGTTTTTTTTTCTCGCTGTTGTTTTAAATATCCTAGATTGTAATAGCAGAAAGGTGATATACTGCATGAAACTGGAGTGCTTCTATATAATTAAAGGACAAATATTACGACTAGGATTAGAGATGAAATAACAGATACTACACTTGGATCACAGCTCGATGGCCAGCGTAACTCAAGTTGCCCTAGGATAAGAGATGAAAAATAGATACTAAACTTGGATAAAAAGTCCGACGGCCAGGTAATGAATAAATACGTAACTCGAGTTAGACTGGTCGTTGGGCCAATGCTGAGTGTTTCCTTATAAGCAAATGGCTAATATTACGACTAGAATTAGAGATGAAAAATAGATACTAGTCTTTGATCCAAGTTCGATGACTAGGAATTGAAGAAAAGCGTAACTCGAGTTGCAGTAGCTGTTCGGTCAACCAATGTCGAATACTTTTTTTATATAATGGAACAGCCAGTATTGTCATTTCCAATACTATTCCCTTGAATAGATTTAACATTTTATTTCTATTTTCTTCTTCCCTATGCAGGCAATTTGGACAAAGTTTTAGGAAACAACGATAAAGATAAACCCAGGTCAGAGTTGCTTTTGTGACTGTCAACTATTGAAATTGATTTGTGTCTTTATCTCAGACAAGATTAGAATCTTTTTTTTTTTTTAATGACGAGACTTGATCATTGATCGTTCCCCGGAAAAAAAAAGGACAGCGCTTAAGAAACTGAGATAAAACCACGAAAGGAAATCGAAATTGGAAACTCGATATAAAATAAAATTGATCTAAAAGCGACACAAGTAATTCTTCGGATCAGACATACTCATTTAAATTTTTTTTAATTTTTCAGTCGTTCTCGTTTCAAAAGGGAAGCGCCTCTTTTTAAAATAGGAGCCACATGCCATTATTTAAGAGTTGTATCGTTTTTAAATGCAGTTTTGAACTTTGATAAAGGTTATGTTCTAACCTACAGTGCATTTCAAATGCATGGACAGGCCGATTCTTTTTGGAGAAAAATCCACCTGGGATCTCCTTAATTCAACCAACCCTATTTATTCATCCCCTTTCTTGTTATTTTAGTGTTTTTAAAAGCCGTTTCAAGTTTTGCATCTGTAAAGTTTCCAGACTTAATGTCAAGAGGATGTTCAATGACTTGCTCGACATTAGTATCTAAAATGTCAGGCATATTTCCCAAGAGATTTTTAATGTGGTCTTACCATTTATTCAGCCTTTCAGACTGACTATTAGCCTTTAACTTGGATTCATTTGTTCTTTTTCTGACACTGATCTTGTTGACAGTTTTTCAATTATGAACGGATTGTTTGTTGTCAGGAGCAGAATTGATCAGTCGAATTTTTCCTGGTTGTATTCAGGATATAATCTTTATAAGAGTTCTTGACTTGAGCCAGAGCTTCATTGAAGTCAACGGATGGATTTGAATATTTTATGTTGTTTTTTTCTTTCACATAGCTCTTTGTGATTCAATGATATTTGAGTCTCAAAGGATGTGTCGGTGATGTATAGGTTTTAAGCGTATAAGCGGCTGGTATTAACACGGTACCAGTGAGCGAAGGACCTCCTCGACGCAGGTCACCGACCAGCCAGGGAGGAAAAGTTTCTTAAATAAACTAAAATTGCCATGTACTAGCGAACAAGGTGAGCCATCTAGTTGGAGAACATCGGCTAACCTGGAGATGGACTGGCTTACATCGCCCAAGACATGGCACATGATGAGCAGATCAAGGAATTAATCACTGACTCCTCGACAAATAGGGGAGAATGGTGGACAGTTCAGGACATCAGCGCCCTAACGACTCCTTCCAGCGTTACGGGCGAAAGAAGAAAGAAAAAGCGCCACCTACGGCATCTTAGCAAACCAAGTAGGGGTAATCTTGTAACATTACGGGTGTAAAATGGAGACTAAGCTAAGGTTAAAAGTTAAGAGAACCCCGAGTAACTAACAAAAAGCAACCCATGTTGTTAGAAAAATATCGCGTTTCTGAAATACAATCAGAAGGTCTACAATAAAATGAAGCAGAGTGTGGTGGGATCTTTTTATTGGGTCGTTAATTGAAAATTCAGTAATGAGCTAAACCGTTAAATTTCTTGGTAATAAAGAAGTTATTTCATCCAAACTTCTTGCTAGAAAATTAATTGTCTGTTAAACGCTGGGATAGGAGAGTTCTCACTTTCACTGAAATCAGTCGGCAAAATTATTTTATGAGGAATAATAAATGTAGCCTGTAAAAATCCTATGTGTTCTACTGTTTATTGCTAAAATTTGAAAATAAGTTATCTGGGATGATAGTTCAAGACGATGCTTTACCTGAAATGTAGAAGCAGGAATTGTTCGAAACGTTATCATAGGTCTCTGAAACTTAATTTCTTAATGTTATTTTAAATTCTACTTTAATTTTTTTCTGCCATTTCTGCTGTACATTCTACTATGAAGTATTATGATTTATAACTATGTGTTGTGTCGTAAATAGGAAAGGATGACACACATAGAAAATAAGT